GGCGCCTTAGCCGGTTGAGCTATAGGCGCCGAGCCACGCATCACTGTCTTGCAGCTGAACATTCAGTAACAAGAAAGACGCCCCTGTGTTATTAAGCAGGAGAAAAGCAGGGCTAAAAATTATACAAAGTGTGTTCCCATGGGAGCATGGCAGTCATTCCTGGGACAGCTACAATGTGCCAAGCATGGCACTGGGGGTCAGAGACAAAACAGGAACACAAATTGTCATTGCTGTGGTCCTGGCAGAGATCACAGGCCAGTGAGGGAGACACAGGTAAATCTGGTGACTACACAGTGGTTGTGTGAATGTTAATCATACTAAATGCCACCCTCCAGAGTACAGGCTTGATTTTGCCTTTATAGGAATGCCTCAAAACATGAATTATCTGCTACTGGTTAAGAAAGCAATTTTATTAATAAACAATTTCTACCTTCTCTTGAGAAACTAGGACACATGATGGCATGTGATAGTCACCAGGGCCACAGCAGGCTGGGGCTGCACAGGGTGGCCCCCGGTGAGAGGGACATCCACGCAGGGCTCAGGGGCACTGTGATCCTGACCCCACCCACTGTCTGCTGGGCCTTCATGGGCAGGACCCACTCCCAGGCATGCAGCCTGTGCTGTCACAGAGGGTTTGCACTTGGACTGTGTGAAGACTAGCTGTCTCCACTTTGACATTCCTAAGAATTTTGGAACAGGGGCTCCACAAACTCTACAGCTGGTCCTGCTTGCACGCCTCCATGCCTCCACGATGGTGGGCCCTGGCTTGTGACAAAGACCCCCTGGGCACTATGGGGGCTGGGAGAGGCTCTCTCTGGGAAGGTGACACTCCCTCTGAACGAAAGACAAAGCAGGGTGAAGACATGAAGAGTAGAGAGGGTGGGGAGAAACAGGGTCACTGCAGCTTCTCAAGAACACCGGAAGAAATGTGCTCTGATGGATCACATGTAATAGACAAAGAAACTGCAGCCTGGAGCAGGGTGTGAGGCACCTTGTCCAGGAGGCCCCGCAGACTGGGTGGGGCTTATCTCTGCCACCCCTGCACCAGCACAGCTGACCCAAGGCAGGGGCAGCTCAGTCACAATCGGTCAGCACCCACTAAATCCACCTAACGCCTACCCTGGTCTCTGACAAAGAGTTCCCACAAAGTCCTGCCAAGGCCTGGGGTGTGGAAGGAAGGTTCTTTTGTAAGTGGCAACTCTAAGCCAAGGTAGGCATATTTAGCCAATGACATCTTAATAGGATGCCCTATGAAATCTGAACTTAAGATAAACAATGATTTTTCAGCAAAGAGTATGCTCATACAAAAAAAAAACCTCTCCGTGCTTACAATGAGAAATGGCTGGTGGTTTATTGAAATTCCCATTTTACTGGGCATCCTGTATTTTCTGTGGCAAGTCTACTCTGAGCACTGGGTAGGAGAAGAAAGGGCCATGGAGCATTTGCTGCAAGCAAGGGCCTTGACGGTCATTCCAAAGTCATAGCAAAGTCTTATTGTGCAGAGTGATCCAAATGAGCTGCCCCGGAGGTGGACCCTCCTCCAGAAGGATGGCAGCACCCAAACACTGCCATGGGCCACTGCAACACCACTGTTACTGTGGTCCCAGGCCAGTGGCTCTAGTCTCCTGCAGCCTGGTAGGAGGTGGGCTGTGTGGGAACAAGTGAAAACAGGCCAGGGAGCCCAGGGTCCTGCAGCCCACACCGAGCTGGCTGGGCTCTGTTACTCGGCCTTGAAGCAGTTGGACACTCGGCTGTGAGAAGGTGGTTAACATGCCAGGTCAGGGCCGAATGGAGCTGAGCAAGCCTGCTTCCATTTGCACAAGAAGCCCTCAAGGATGGCTTGGGAGGCTCTGCTGCGGGAAGATAAGAAGGAGCTTAATCAGCCCTGGGAGGACTTGTGGAGATGCTTTTTTTGGAAGAGGGATGCTCAAATACTCTAAAGCAACAAGGAGTGGAGATGGGCCTCCTGCTACATGTGGGGCAGGCTGAGCTACAGGGCACCAGGCAGGAGAGAGGAGATGGGCCTCCTGCTACATGTGGGGCAGG